ATTCATTCATTCATTCATTCATTCATTCATTCATTCATTCATTGGTGGGGGAGGGGTCCCCCCCCACTGCGTGCGCGCACACACACACACATACACACGCGCGCTTGCGCATTCATGAGCTTTTTTTTGGGTATCAATCAATCAATCAACCAATCAATCAACCAACCAATCACAATCAATCAATCAATCAATCAGTCAATCGGTATGTGTGTGTGTCAAAAACGGAAAAAAAGAAAAGAAAGATATAACGTCTTTGGATTTTTTTGTGTTGTTAATCTTTTTTCCCTTTTATCTTGGCATCTGTCCATAAAAAATATAATAAAAGAAACATGTGCACCATGTTTATCCCACCAGCAATCAGAAGAAAAGAAAGAAAAAAAGAAAATTCTCTTTTTTATTACTGTTCTTTTAATTAGAATACTTATTTTTTCGTTTCAATTTTTTCTAAAGAACATGTGCACCATGTTTTTCCCACCAGCAATCAGAACAAAAAAAGGGAAAAAAACAAAATTGAAAAATCCCCTTTTCCTATTACTTTTCTTTTGATAGAAAAAAAACGTTGCAACCCAAAAACGAAAATATGGGGTTGTAGGGCTTTTCAACCCAACAATCCCATATTTTTATTTTTACTTTTGGTCTATTAGTTTTTCAAAATCAAATATGACAACATCTTGGCCACGCCCGACCGCCCGGGCCGTGGCCTGCGGCCGGGATCCCGACCTCAATCCGAGTTTGACCCCACGGTCATGACCGCGGGGGATTCATAGAGTTTGGGTGCGGTCGGGGTGGTGTTTAGGCTTACCTGTGCATTGTTGTCGACGCAGTCCCTCTCTCTCTCTCTATCTATCTCTATCTCTATCTCTAGCGCATGCGTGCGTGCGCACCACGGATCAGATATGATCATCAAATATGAAACTGATCGGAACAGATACTACACTTGTTGGGGGGGGGGGGCGTATTTCTCTCTCTCTTTCTCACGCGCGCGCGCGCGCTCATGCATGAGCTCGTGTGCGGTTTTTCTTTTCTTTGTACCGATGGACCACGGATCATATTAGAAACTGATCGGACCACATACAACACTTCATCGTGTTGTCTTGGGGGGGGCGGGCCTGTAGTTAATTAAGTTGGGGTCTCTCTCTCTCTTGTGCGCAGGCGTGCTTTAGAAAAAGAAAAGAGAAGGGTCTCGATAGACCACGGACCAGACTTGGAAGTCGTTGGATTGGGGTCTCTCTCTCTCTGTCTCTCTATAGCGGTGAGTCAAGCCTGCGCGCGCGTCAGTGTTTTTTTTTTTTACGGGTCTCCATTGACCAGAGATCAGATTTGAAACTGATTGGAGCAGATAC